GAGGAATGACATCATGGACCTGACTGGGACAAATTTAAATGAGGTTCACAAGCCTGGTGAGGGGACACATGACTGTAATCCTGCACTCTAGGAGGCTGAGACAGGAGGATCACGCATTCGATTCTAGCCTGGCAGCAACTTAACAACTGAATGACAGCCTGTTTCAAAAGAAAAAAGAAAAAGAGGGCCAGAATGCAGCTCGGTGGAAAGGCCTGGCATCAATGCCCAACACCAAAAAACACCTAAGCCCAGATCCTGGGTAACAGTAGTTATCATGGCTTGAACACTATCCCACCCCCAACCCAAAACTGCCCTCCAGAAGGCAGTGCCATTTGAGGATAAGGTCCTTAGTGAGGTCCTGTGGTCATTAGATCTTTACAGGAGGTCTCATCTACTCAGAGATAAACCACTCTCCAAGCCCTGGTCTTGGACTTCTGGCATTTAAAACTGTGAGGAAAAAAATGTTGGTGCTACTTTGCGGGGTAGCCCTGGGACACAATCACAGCTACATTAGATCAACGTTGAGGGTTTTGCCGGGTATGGGGCACACACTTAAAGTCCCAAGTATTCAGGAGGCTGAGGAAGGAGGATCACCAAATTCAAGCCCAGCCTGGGCATTTTAGTAAGTCCCTGTCTCAAAAGAAAAGCAAAGAAATGAAAAGAGGAAAAAAAAAAGGGGGGGGTGGGGGGTGGGATGGGGGCTGGGGCCAGAACTCAGCAGCAAACACTCACCCAGCGCGTGTAGGCCTGGCTTCACCCCAGACCACCAAACTAACAACAACTGGAGGACCTGAGGAGCAAAGCACTCGGCAGTCACAGAGGACACTGTCCTGAGACCCGCAGGGGGAAGGACCACAGCGCCTTGGCTTCCACTGACAGGGATGAGTAGCCACCATCGGGACAGTGAGGAGACTTTAATTAGCGACCACAAGTGACGCGGCAGCCAACCAATCCAGGTGAAAGTGCGCAGGAGACTACTGTAGTATTTTTCCAACTCTTCCTTCAGGTTTTTTTTGTTTTGTTTTGTTTTGTTTTTTGAGACGGGGTCTCACTATGCAGTTCAGGCTGGCCTTGGGCTCACTTTGTAGCTCAGGCTGGCCTCAAACTCTCAGTGATCCTCCTGCCTCAGCCTCCCAAGTGCTGGGATTAGAGGTGTGCACCACCAACCAGGCCCTTCCTTCAATTTTGTAAAAGGTCTCTGTCCCAGGAAGGACCAGGACGTGCAGCAGGGTGTGCCAGGTCCCAGGCATGGTCCTGAAGGAATCAGGTCAGGAAGCACGGCCTGCCAGGGCCACAGGGCCAGCACTGGGGGCAGGAGGGGAAAGGGAAGGAGAGCCGACCAAACACCCAGGCAGCCTGCTGAGCGGATGGGGCCGCATTGCCGTGGGGACTCAGCAGCGCGTCTCTGGGGCAGGAGGCTGGGAGGAGAGCAGGCCTGGCTGGCAGCCCAAGTGCCCATTACTCAGCATTTTCCCAGGAAGCAGCCAGGCCCTCAGGCTGGAAAGGGGACACTGCGGGCCCTCTGCCCGCGCAGTGCTGTTGTGGGTGGGTTAGCCATCGATATCCCTGTCCCGGCCGCCCTGCCCTGCTTCCACCATACAATCTTGCAAAAAAGGGGACTTGGAGGGGCTGGGGATTTAGCTCAGTGGCATAAGCGCCTGGCTTGCAAGCAGGTAGTCGTGAGTTCAATCCCTGGTACCGATAAAAAGGAAAAAGACAAAAAAAAAAAAAAAAAAAAAAAAGGGACTTGGGAACCCTCCATCTTTGTTTTTCTGTGATACAGGCCAAGCCCAGGGCCTTCGCACTGAGCTATCTCCACAGCCCTTTGGACTGTTTTATTTGGAGACAGACAGGGTCTTGCTAAGTTACAGAGACAGGACCTGAACCTGAAGTCCTCCAGCTTCAGCCTCCCAAATGCTAGGATCACAAGCATCGCCACCCCCACCCCACCAGGCTAATTACCCCATCTTCCTCTTAAGGCTAAATGGCTTCTTAAAAGCCCTGCTGCAGGGCTGGGGATTTAGCTCAGCGGCATAAGTGTCTGCCTTGAGTTGGATCCCTGGTCCGATAAAAAGGAAGACAAAAAAAAAAAAAAAAAGCCCTGCTGCGAGTGTCCAGAATCACTTACAGCCATGTCTCCCCGGGGGCCTCGAAGGCTGGCTCGGTCCTCATAATTAATGGAAACTGGCTTTCCAGACATTTCCATATATTAATCCATTTTTGCTCACTGCAGCCAAGGACAACTGTGACTCTACCGTGTCACTTATGCATTTGCCTGCGACTTCCAGCAGGACTCCAAGTGTTTTCCTTCCGTACTAATATACCAAATTGGCTTTGGGTTTATTTATTGTTCTGCTAACCTGAAAAAGTATGAAAAGCTTGGCTCTTAAATCACGGTTACACACCCCACTAGCAGGGCAGTCTGAGTTTAGAATACACACTCCAGCCAGGCATGGTGGTGCATGCCTGTAATCCCAGCCCTGGAGAGGCTGAGGCAGAAGGATTACTAGAAATTTGAGGGCAGCTTGGGCTACACAGTTGAGTTCAAGGCCAGCCTGGACTACATTGTGATATATATATATATATATATATATATGCTCTAAATAAGTTCTTTCTTAAGCAAAATGTACACAAAGTTCAGACCCGATAACCTCTAAACCCACCAGCAGCTGAGTCAAAGGTCCCAGGGCCAGCAGATGGCAGCAAGGGGACACCAGTGGAGATGGCTCAGAACCAGGGTGTGGCAAGCAGGCTGAGTGGGACTTGAACCTGGAGCCTAGAACTCAGATGTGCCAATGCCTCCTGCCCACAGCCCAGTCCTCTCCAGAGGTCACCCGTCTTTTTACCAAAGCATCCAGCGGCTTCTAACATACACTATGCTTTATTTATTAAGGCATTAGAATACTGGCTCCTCTACAGCACTGATCTTTGGTCTCTTTTGCCCACTGATGTATATTCTGCACCTAGAACAGTGCCGGACTTCTATAGTAAATGCTCAATAAGCATCTAGTGAATAAATTAGTCCTGTAAGCATTTCCGAAATGCCTGCTATGGTTGGCTGTGAACTGAGTCTCTGCCTCTCAAATCCAGCCAGACATGAGTGCGCCGGGGCTCTGAAACAAGGCACCATTTCTCCCCCACCACCAAGGAGCTGGCAGATCAACCCAAACCTGGGCCCATGACTATTGAACCCCAAAGGAAGTTAAAACCTAAGACCCAGGCTTGATTGGAATACAACTTGAATTTCCTGGAGCCTCTCTCTGAGAAGCAGTTGCCTCACTCAGAGTCTTTAGAATTACTTCTGCTCAGCAAAATGGCCCTCTGGGCCGAGGGTGTGGCTCAGTGGTAGTGCACCCACTCTTCAGGCCTGGCCTGGGACACGAACTCCAACTAGGCAAACTGGACTTGTCACAGCCCACGAAGTGGGGATCCACAAGCACTCTGGTTTTATGGAAAGGGTGGGACAGGGCCAGTTGATGTGCACCCAGGGCTCTTCCCTGGAACCTGAGATGAGGAGGGGAGTCCAGAAATGCCCCTGGTTACTGGCCCGTTTCCCCTAGTTCCATCCGAGGGAGGGGACATGTGTTTGTCAGGTAGGCAACTTCAGAGCCACTTCCTAGAGTGAGACAGCTGCTGGCTTCCTGCAGCAATTTCCAAGGAGCCTCTGTCTCCTTTGGCCCCGGGGACACAGTGTCCAGAGTGCCCTGTGCACAGAATTTGGCTGAACTGGTCAGGAGGGCGTGACTTTGAGACTTAACGTGTGGTTTTTGACCATGGACCATGGCTCTTCCAAAAATCATGTGTCTATGAAAAAATCTAACACAGGTCCACCTCCAAGGATGGAAACACCACCTCAGGCGAGACGGTTCCAGAGAGATGCCAGGAATCCCAGACTCGTGGCCTTGCTTGAGAACAACCTTCCCCAAAAAAGCCATCAGCAGCGAGTGAGATACGGTAACAACGGCTGCGGGAGCAGAGGCATACAGGCGGCCAATGCCAGGCACTGGGAGAAGCCGGGGGCCTCTTCCAGCTGTGAAAGCCAGGCAGGGTCCGTCGGGGATAAGGATTCTCATATGCAACATGAAAAGCCACTGAATTGCTTTCCTAAGGTGTGGCAGAATTCAAGGAGATAGTCCCTGCTGCCACAAAGTAAGTTCTCCCAAAGCATGAATGGCCCCATGGGGAAGAAGAAAACTATTCCTAAAGTCCCAAGAGCTATTGTGTTCGCACTGAGCTGCTTGCTAAGCGTTTGCAGATAACAGATTTTCAAACCCTCTTTACACGCAGCACCTTCGGAGTGCATGAGACCAAGGGCAGAGCGACAGTCCTCCTGGTCAAAGGAGGAAAACAAGGCACCAGAGGGGGCTTCACGCACCCGCGCGCCCCCCAAGGGGAAGACGGTGGCTGGGGACGCCGCCCTCAGGGCAGCTGGCACGGAGGTTGACAGTCACCACCGCCCAGACCTGGTCATCTTTTGTCCCGCAGGAAAAAAATATAAACACGGCAGAGCCCAAGGCCAGAGGAAACGAGCTCGGCGCACAGCAACGCCACACACACCTGCAGCGAAGGGCCAGGCCGCGGCCAAACGGGCGATGCGACAGCTCCGGACCGGGCGGCTCAGGGGCGGCGCGGGACCCCGGGAAGGGGAGGGGGCGGCGGCCAGGGCATCCTGGCTCCGATCACCTGGCCATTGCGTCCAACAGTGCACCTGGCATGTCCAGGCCCCACCGGCCCGGAGAGAGGCTGCGGTCGCTCTCGCTCCAACAGGCCCGGCCCCCCAGGCAGCCGGGAACTCACCAGCCGTAGCCACCGTCGTCTGTCAGTCAAGCTCGCCCTCCGCTACGCAGTTCGCGGTCTCGGAACCTGGCCGGCCGCGCCCCGCCTCCCCCCTCGGCTGTCCAATCGAAAGAGCGTGACGCCTGGGAGGGGGCGTGACCCGTGGGCAGTGTTGCTGGGGGCGTGCCGTGGCGGGCTAGAGGTAAACGGCGCGCGCGTTGGGACGCTGCTTACGTCACTATCACCCGCCGGAAGCAGCTCAGGGTTTGCGGGTTGCCGCGGCGGCTGCACCGCGGGGTGGCTGCCGCTATGCCGGTCACCGGGAAGACCTTCCGCCGGCGCCGGGCCGACTCTGAGTCGGAGGAAGATGAGCAGGACTCCGAGGAGGTTAGGTGGGTCTCGGACGGGCTTTCACAGGCTGGGTAGAAAGAGACCGGCGTGGGGAGGCTGGCCAGCGCCCGGGAGTCGGGCTGACACCGTTGTGTGCCGGGCTTCTGGTTTCTCCGAGAAACGGAGTTTCCTGGGGGTGAGGCCACCCGTCCGCAGTGAGAGATACCCCCGCGTGGATCTCACTTGCGGGGCTCCTGGGCGCGGGGTCGCCCTTTGGACGCGGCGGGACAAGCTGTCTGCCCACTCTGGGTTCCAGGATCCCAGCCTGTGCGTTACCGTTTTTCAGATTGAAGTTGGAGGAGACCCGAGAGGTCCAGAACTTAAGAAAGAGGCCCAACGGGGTGAGGTGGGTACCGCGGGTAGAGTAGGGGCGGTGGGGACAGTAACGCGCCCCAGCTCGGGTCCTCATGCGTCTAGGACCCGGCCTTTTCCTTGACCCACGTACACGTCCTGCTGCCTGAAGAGAAAGTGAGCCCAAGTCCAGCCCGAACTGCACAGGGAAACCCTGTCTCAAAAAGACAAAAAATAAGAAAAGCTTTGATGGACTCTGTATTTTCCTTTTGCTGCACTTATGTTCAGGCATTTATAGGAAAGTGACCAACTGTGCGTCCACACACCCTCAGGACTGCGCTGACCTCCCCAGCATTTCCAGCTGGCTTCCTGCCATCACCTCTCTAGTCTGCCCCTTGAACAATGGCGCATTTTACAAACCTTGCCTTTTACAAACCTGCTCCTTGATTCTAAATTGTACCATTTCTCTTTCTTGGTTGTGCTCAGTGCTGCCGCCCTGCTGGTGGGTGAGAAGGTGCAGGAAGAGACCACGCTAGTGGTAAGTGCCAGATCCTCCTCCCTGTAGCTGCTTCACCCTGGATAACCGTGTCTACTGGAACACTCCTGATAACCCTACCCATCTAAGCTGTGCATGCTTTCCATAGGATGACCCCTTCCAGATGAAGACGGGAGGCATGGTGGACATGAAGAAGCTTAAGGAAAGGGGCAAAGATAAGTAAGTGCAGGACCACTGAGATGCAGATTCTCCACAGCCTCTGCTGGGTCTGAGCACCCCTGAGAGCTGGGACTACAGCCAACCGTTCAGAGAACACCTGGGTGTAGCATGCCTTGTAAAGGGTGTGTGGTTTTAAAACAGAAGGATGTGGGTAGGGTGGGAAAGTGCTTGGCTGGCATGTGCAAGGCCCTGGCTTTGATGCTCAGTACCACAAAAACAAGATTTTAAAAGTAACTTGGGGCTGGGGATTTAGCTCAGTGGCATAAGTGCCTGCCTTTAAAAGCAGGCAGTCGTGAGTTCGATCCCCGGTACCGATAAAAAGGAAAAAGACAAAAAAAAAAAAAAAAAAAGTAACTCAGCCAGGTATGATGGTGCATGCCTGTAATACCAGCACTGGGGAGGCTGAGGCAGGAGGATTGCTGCAAGTTCAAGCCAGCCTGGACTACATAGCACGTCCCTGTCTCAGACAAAAAGAAAAGGAAAAAGTTCCGAGCCAAGTGATTGGAGTTGTTTTCTAAAAGTGCCTTACTCATTTCTTTTAAACCCACATGGAATCCAAATGTTAATAGAAATTTAAAAAACAGGTACTGATAAAAAAGAAAAAGACAAAAAAAAAAAAGAAAGAAATTTGAAAAATAAACGTATCCACACATTCCCCAGAGGTATTACCAAGGGCCACCTGTTTGCTTGTTCAAGTTCCAGTTTTTATACCACATCTAGCCATGGACAGGCCGTTATGCTTTTTCTCTCGTCCTTGTTTCATTCTCATGATGTAAAAGTCACCTCACTGTCATCTCCTTTTAGGATCAGTGAGGAAGAAGACCTGCACCTGGGGACATCGTTTTCCGCAGAAACCAACCGAAGGGACGAGGATGCAGACATGTAGGTACCGAGCACTCAGCTGTGGTGATGGAGGCTGGGCAGTGAGATGTGTGGTCTGAGAGGTTTCATCACAGGTGACGTTTCCAGAACTTTCTAGAGGTCACCCTGTGTGTTTGAGAACTTTGCAAACTTCTTAAGGATTCTTTAGCCAAGGATGGTAGTGCATTCCTGTAATTCTAGCTACTTAAGAGTTTATGGCAGGAAATCTACTTGAATCCAAGGGTCTGAGGCCACCCAGGGCAACATGGAAGAACTTATCTTGAAAAATATAAGAACATTCTTTAAACAGTAGCAGTCGGGATTTTTAAATTCCTTGACTTGTGGTATTTCTTCCCTAAACACTACAGGGACAAACATGGACTTGCTCACTTTTTGTTTGGCCAACAAGGCTTTTAAAATAACAGGTACCACCTGACACCATGACTCATTTCTAAACTGCTAGCACAGGGAGGCTGAAGCAGGATGGCTTTGCATGTGAGGGCAGCCTAGACCCCATAGCAAGATTCTAACACAGAAAAACCCAAAAAGGAAACGGATTCGGGGTGTCTGGATGTTGGCTGTCCACGGAGTGGCGGCCACATCCTGCGGGCCAGTGTGGAGACCCTGGCTGAGTGGTGCACACTCGTGGTCCACACCCCCAGGATGAAGTACATCGAGACAGAGCTGAAGAAGAGGAAGGGCATCGTGGAGCATGAGGAACAGAAGGTGAAGCCCAGGAATGCCGAGGACTGTCTGTACGAGCTCCCCGAGAGCATCCGCGTAGCCTCAGCCAAGAAGACAGAGGAGATGCTGTCCAACCAAATGCTGAGCGGCATCCCCGAAGTGGACCTGGGCATTGAGTGCGTATGGGCCTGTCCCCATGGGCTGTCTCTCGGGAGGTGGGGTCAGGACAGCGGCTGAAGCCTTCAGTCACAAGAAGCAAAAGCCCTTCTGTCGCCTCTGTCCCCCGCACTCCCAGGAGCTCTCTTCTCTGTGCTTGTGGCGTCCCCACAGCAGCTCACTGCGGCTCTCCCCAGGGCCTCCTTGCCCTGGCTGTGAACTCCTACTTCAGAGCACAGTGGCTGGCGCCCTCTCTCGGTACAGCAGAGTTGGGCACTGGGTCCTGGTCTCTTTTCCAGGCCCAGGAAGCTCCCTTCTCTTGGTGACACTTGATTTTCTGTTGGTCACGAAAGAGGAACAGCTCCTGCTCACCCCGGCCATGGCCTGAGCACTGTTAAGAGCATGACCGAGCTGGGGGCAGTGGTGTGCACAGTCCTCCGGACACTCAGGAGGCTGAGGCAGGAGGATCCCTGTGAGTTTCCAGACCAGCCTAGGCTACATCGAGAGCCCTGTCTCACACAAGAAAGTGGGAGAACTGCATCCCGTAGGTTCCTCAGGCAGCACAGGGCTGCCAGCCACACCCCTCAGCTCCATACGGGTGAAAGATGGTGGTCTAATGGGGGCGGGGTGCTCTTCCCATCTGCCCACAGTGCCAAGATCAAAAACATCATCTCCACGGAGGATGCCAAGGCCCGCCTGCTGGCAGAACAGCAGAACAAGAAGAAGGACAGCGAGACGTCCTTTGTGCCCACCAACATGGCCGTGAACTACGTGCAGCACAACCGCTGTGGGTGCCCCACTGCCCTGCGGGGGAGTGAGGTAGGTGGGCCTCCCCGGGTCTGACATCTGACCTCCCCTTCTCTTATGTGTCTCCTAGTTTATCATGAGGAGCTCAATGCCCCCATCCGGAGGAACAAGGAGGAGCCCAAGGCACGGCCCCTGCGAGTGGGCGACACGGAGAAGCCGGAGCCCGAGCGTAAGTGCAGCCTGGCTGGGGGGATGGGGCTGAGGTGGGGCATCTGCTTCCCAGCCCCTGCTCCTGACTCCTCCTGACCCTGCAGTCCCCACCCTTCCCAGGCCTCAGTTTCCTGGTTTATGGAATGGGGTGTTAGGGTCGCTGGGAGTTCAAGACTCTGTCTTGGAAACCGAAAAGGAAAAAAAACAGTAAAAGTCGCTCTTAGGTGACAGCTGCTTCCCGAGGCCCTCCGCGCTGTCCTGCACGGCCTACCTGAGATACCTGGTCCTCACCTTTGTATGCCAGGCCTCAAGGCGGTTCCAGCTTGGTGACAGCCTATCCTGTCCTTCTCAGGGTCCCCGCCTAACCGCAAGCGGCCAGCTAACGAAAAAGCCACTGATGACTACCACTACGAGAAGTTTAAGAAAATGAACAGGCGGTACTGAGATCCCCGGAGGTGCCCACAGAGCTCCCAGACAGAAGCTGCCGCGGCTGCTGCCACCAGTGAGGCGTCACCCGCACTGGTCAGGAGCACAAGGCGTAACTCTTCCACTGGACGGCAGACTGACTGAGAGCGCTGGTGAAGCTTGCTGTAAGATGTTGACCTCCGCTTAGTGCTTGCTCCAGGAGGAGGAGCCGTGCATGCTTGGTGCGCTGGTCCCCTTCAGATCACGCCTATAGACTGAGGCTGCAGCAGGTGAGGTGGCTCGCACCTGTAATCCCGGCACTCTGGGAGCCCAAGGCAGGAGGGCCTCAGGTTTGAGCCCAGCCTGGGCAATTTAGCCACCCCTGTCCAAATTAACAAACAAGGGCCTGGGTTTAATCCCCAGTAACTCCAAAAGCAAGAAAACACATCAGTTAGGGTTAGGGTTAGGGTCCAGGGGACCACAGAAACGTCTAGGGTGGGATTTTCTGACTTTTACAAAGCTACATTTCATTGACAAGGATAAAGGAATACTTCCTGCCCACGTTAAGAATTTAATTATTAAACACAAACTGAATCCAGCCTCCGTGTCTAAATGGTCTCCTTCCACCATCAGCCCAGAGGTGGCAACAGGTAAAGTGGGTGGCTGAGGTCCCCGCCTGGTTCCAGCCGCACCCACTTGGGGCCCAGAACCCCTCGGCTGGGCTGGGGAAGGGCGCACAGCTGACCTCCGCATGGATGCAGGGTAGAACTGCAGCCATGAACAGGAACTTGGGCGAGGCCGGCTGGAGCGGGAGCGGCCAGCAGAGGGCAGGAGTGGGATTTCTCATCGCAGGGCTGAGAGGCACAGCAGCAAGGCAGGGGTTTGAGGGAACCATGGATACCAGGAGGAGAGGTCAGTAGGGGTCATGTCCGGCTTGGCTGAGCTGTGGGCGGTGCGCGTACAGATACTCAGGTGCGCGAGCACACACGGTGTCCGCGTGCACACGATTCTTTGCTGCCGGCCGAGTCTGACTTGACTCGTCGGTACGGGGCGCACCCAGCACCGTCCTGTTAGTACGGGGAAGCAGGGCTGTCTCTGGAGCCAGGCCGTTCCTAGTGCCAGGAAACCAGGACAGGCTGAGAGCAAACCCACGGGGCTGTGTCACAGGCGCCTGGGGGGCAGCCGCTGCCGCCCCAGGGACCCGGCCCGGGTGGGGGTGAGCACATCACGCGGGAGGGGAAGGCTCCGCGCCCTGCTGAGGAGGTTTCTGCGGCTGCTCTGCCCTGGCGGGCGAAGCGGGGCCCCACACCCCACGGGGGCCTTGCGCAGCGACGTCCTAGGGGGACGGGAAGGGGCGCCCGGGGTCAGCCCAGGCCAGCAGACCGGCCCGGCCGCCGGAACCGACGTGGGCGCTTCCTTCCCAGCCCGAACCGGCCGAGGACAGAGCACAGCGGCCTGGGTGCCTGCCCGGCACCAAAAGCAAACTAAACATAAAGAAGCCATAATCCGCGTCTAACTGGGAAGAGCAAATCCCAGCTGGGAGGCACCATAGACGGCTGAGCCGCCGGCAATGAGGCGATTGCGCTCCTTCCTGTAACAGATGGCGCGCACTAGGACAAGGTTTCAGGAACCCGGCGGCCGTGAGGACTGTCTACCGCTACCTTCCGTATTAACTCCTCCGCTTTTCTGTCATCTAAACCTGCTTTAAAAACAACAAAAAACGCGATCCTCAGCGGATTGCCACAACCAACCTTTACTACGTAGAAAAGGAGCCCTGCCCCTAACAAAGATGGCGGCCTGCAGGGTCAGGAGGAGACCTGCCCGGAACAAAGAGGGCGGCCACGGCAGGGGCGGAACCGGAAGCGCACGTCGGACGAAGCGCGGGTCGCGGACGGCGCAGGAGCGCGCAGGGCGGCGCGGGTCCGGGCATGAAGCTGGGCCGGGCCGCGCTGGCCCTGCTGCTGCTGGCGCCGTGCGTGGTGCGCGCTGTGGAGCCCATCAGCCTGGGGCTGGCGCTGGCCGGCGTGCTCACCGGCTACATCTCTTACCCGCGTCTCTACTGCTACTTCGCCGAGTGCTGCGGCCAGAGGCGGAGCCTGAGCAGGGAAGGTAAGTCGAGGCAGGGCCTGCAGGGCCGGCGGGCCGCGGAAGCCGGACAACCCTGCGGGGGATGGGGCCTGGCGCCGTGACCACCACCGCAGCCCGGCCGGACTTTGGCCCCGGCCATCAGTGCGGGACGCGAGGCTGCGGACGCCGCCGGAGCTCCGCCTCCTTCCTGCCGCCCCGGGGGTAAGGGGCCCTTCCGGTGCTCCCCGAAGCGCGGAGCGGTGGTGCCCGGCTGAACGTGGCCAGCTGCGTCCCCTGCTCACCCGCCCCGTCCTCCCAGCGCTGCAGAAGGACTTGGACAACAGGCTCTTCGGACAGCATCTCGCGAAGAAGGTCATCCTGAACGCCGTGACCGGTTTCCTGAGCAACCCGAAGCCCAAGAAACCCCTTACCCTCTCCCTGCACGGCTGGACGGGCACCGGCAAGAACTTCGTCAGCAAGATCATCGCGGAGAACATCTATGAGGGCGGGCTGAACAGCGACTACGTGCACCTGTTCGTGGCCACGCTGCACTTTCCGCACGCCTCCAACGTAACGCTGTATAAGGCAAGCACGGGAGTGTGGAGTGCAGATCGCAGGGCGGACGGGTTTGGAGTGCTTGGATGAAGCTTGGGTTTTGGCAATAGGCTACTGAAAGCGGTGAGCCTGACTCTTGCTCCCTATGCCACTTCTCCTTTGCTTTTTGTTTTTTCGAGAGAGGGACCCAGAGCCCAGGCTGGCCTTCAGTGCATAGAGATCCTCCTGCCTCAGCCTCCCACAAGTTGAGATTACAGGCATGTGCTAGCTTCCTGACAATTTTTTATTTTATTTTTTTAATTTTTTTTGGAACGTGTGCACTATACAGAGGCATTGGGATCCACAGAGCAATGACCCCATCAAAGCTTGTGACGGCCAGGCATGGTGAAAATCTTAGCATTGAGGAGGCTAAAGCAGGAGGATCGTGCCAAGTTCGAGACCAGTCTGGGTTACAGAATGAGTTCAAGGCCAGCCTGAACTGCAAAGTCTCAAAAAGACAAATAATAAAAAAAAAGGGTAGTAGTAGTTTGAAAAACTAAGCCAAATAACACTTACCTGTTTAGTAGGTAGGGCTGTAGAATTTCACAGATGGCCATGATCATCTTGCCATCTTGCCATGGTAGCACTGCACATTTGGGCACATTTGGGAGGCTGAGAGGCAGGTGGATCACCGCAAAGCTGGTGAATCAAAGCTGCAAAACTGTCTCCAAAAAAATAAAACCATGCATGCTATAATGTAACCGCTGCAAACTGCCGAGGAATCCAACTCACTGATTGACAGCTGGGAGGCACTGCAGCAGACACACCTGGATTTCCATCCCACTCCTCTCCTCCCAGCTGTGCAGCCTTAGGGAGCTGCCTGAGCTCTGAGAAGCAGGTTCCTCAGCAGGAAGTGGTGCTGCTGAGCCCCTGCCCATCTGGTTCTGTAACTAGGCATCTGCCCTTCGGTGGCTCTTCTGACCTTTAGTTGCTGGTGTTGCCTTTGAAACGATGTGGATTTGTCCTTTACTCATGGAAAGTAGCTCTGCAGGTGACAGCTGTCTGGGGCTCCCGGACCATGCCACTTTCTTGCTGAAACTGGCAGTGTCCTAGGCAGAGTGGGCTGAACAGGGGATCTGGTTAGGAATGAGGCGCCCCCAGCTTAATGGCTGTGTGATTGGTGGCAGGTTGCTAAACCTCCTTGTACCTGAATTTCTCATGTGTCGGAAAAGGAGCACTCTGTATTGTTACTTGAATGGTGTTTTTTGTTTGGTTGGTTTTCTGGGACAGGGTCTCACTATGTGGCCCAGGCTGGTTTCATACTTAGAGCAATCCTCCTGCCTCAGCCTCCGGGATGCTAGGGTTACAGGCTTGCACCGCCAAGCCTGGCTGCCGTGGATTTGGAGAGTGGAGTTTAGGATGCTGTCCTGCTTACTCTGGAACATCCCTTCCCTGAGCCCTGGAGTTTAGGATGCTGTCCTGCCTACTCTGGAACGTCCCTTCCCTGAGCCCCGGTGTTAGTTGTTGGCAAGGTGCAAAGACACCGGCTGTTGAGGTGTAGCTGCACAGAGGCAGGAGAGTCTGGAGTATGAGCCTGGCCTGAATACCTATTAATTTAGCAAGATTCTGTCTCAAAAGAAAAATGGGGAAAAAAATTGAGAGTCTAGGGCTGTAGCTTAGTGTGAAGACCATGGGTTCAATGCCGAGTAGAGCTCTTAGCTGACTGCAGAGGCCCTGACTTCCATGCCCAGTGCTGCCAAAAAGAAGAAAGGGTCCGTGACACCTGTGCAGAGCTCTGACAAGGCTTTCCACCCATGACCCAGGATCAGTTACAGCTATGGATCCGAGGCAACGTGAGCGCCTGTGCACGGTCGATCTTCATCTTTGATGAGATGGACAAGATGCCCGCCGGCCTCATCGACGCCATCAAGCCCTTCTTGGACTATTATGACGTGGTGGATGAGGTCTCCTACCAGAGGGCCATCTTCATCTTCCTCAGGTGAGCAGCCAGGCCACCCCGGGGCGCCTGTGGAGCCGCGCCTGCCCGAAGCAGGCCAGCCCCTCCTCCTGCTGTCTTGCAGCAATGCGGGGGCCGAGCGCATCATGGACGTGGCGCTGGACTTCTGGAGGAGCGGGCGGAGCAGGGAGGACATCAGGCTCAAGGACATGGAGCAAGCGCTGTCTGTGTCGGTCTTCAACAACAGGAACAGTAAGTGGGGCCCTGGCCTGCACTCTGGACGTTCAGTCTCCGGGCAGTGTGTGCTGTGGATGTCCAGGAAGGCTCCTGGAGGCAGGAAAGTCATTGGCAGCCGCAGTCCTGGAGCCGGGCATCCCTGCACACCTGTCATCCCCCAAGTGGGAGGCTGAGGCAGGAGGATCATTGCAAGACCAGCCTGGGCTACAAAGTGAGCTCAAGGCTGCCTTAACTTCTAGGTGAGACACCACCTCAAACAAAAATCCAAAAGAGGATCAGCTCGGGTTTCAGGGGCTAGGCCATACCACCAGACTGGGTCCCAGAGAAATAGACAGAGGCTGGCCTTTCCGGAGCATCAGAGATGAGGGATCCAAGCTCTCAGAGGTGTAGCAGCCTCCCTGGGCCACACAGCCCCTTGGGTGTCACAGGTCCCAGACCCCAAGCCTTCCCATGGAGCTTCTGGCCCCCAGGAACGTCATGCACACCTGTGTCCTAAGCACAGGGAGGTGGAGCTGGGCTGGGGCTGACCCTGGCTGAGACCCTGGACCTGCTGTGCTGTGCTTAGCCCAGCCCTGGAGGCAGCAAAACCTGAGGCTGTGGCCTTGGGGCACAGGGATCCACCTCAGGGTTTGTAGGAGGTGGGGTCTGCTCTGTTCCTGTGCAAGTGGCAGGCGCATCACCTCAGGTGGGACAGCTTTTAAAATCCTGAGACTTCCCAGCCAGCAGAAAATGCATCCGAGACCGCCTGGCAGACCCTGCAGCTAAGGGCACTGGCCCCAAGGGCGAGGTTTGAGTTTTGGTTTTGGTGGCAGTGAGGATGGAACCCAGGGCTGCTGGGGCCATGCAGAGCCCACCCCTGGGGTGCTCACAGCGTGAACTCGGAGCATCCCTGCAGGGAGTTGGGTCCTGGTCCCCAGGTGCTCCTGGTAGGGGCCATGAGCTCGAGCTGTCCACCCTGCAGTGAAAGGCAGGGGTCTCCGGGCCGAGGGTCTTCCTGGAACTGGCCGCCTGCCCATTCTCCAAAGTGCTCCATCACCATCGGCCCAGGGCCTGACCTGGACACCCAGGGAGGCGCATTGGGTGGGTGGGTGGATGGAGAGATGGATGGACAGACAGACGGGAGGGATGGGCAGAAAGGATGACAGATGGGTGGCAGAGGTAATTGGATGGAGGGATAGACAGACAGATGAATGGTTGGATGGATGGACAGATGAACGGCTGGGGAGGTGACACGCCCCTCCCCCCTCTGCCTCCCAGGTGGCTTCTGGCACAGCAGCCTCATAGCCCGGAACCTCATCGATTACTTCGTCCCCTTCCTGCCCCTGGAGTACAAGCACCTCAAGATGTGTGTCCGGGTGGAGATGGAATCCCGCGGCTACGAGGTTGACGAGGACATTGTGACCAGAGTAGCCGACGAAATGACCTTCTTCCCCAAGGAGGAGAGGGTATTCTCCGACAAGGGCTGCAAAACTGTGTTCACCAAGCTAGATTATTACCTGGACTGATGGCCCAGAGTGCCCACAGAATGGGACAGCTCTGGGTGCTGCCTTTACTCTGTGGAGGCTGCAGGCACCCACACCTTAGGGATCATGAACATGGATGGAAGGTTCTAGAACCTTCCAAAAGTGACCAGCTCCTAGTCCATTCCTCCCAGGGCTCGTGAATTTTTAAAAAGTATGGGTTATACTGGGCGTAGTGGTGCACACTGTGATCCCAGCACCTAGGAGGCTGAGGCAGGAGGGTCTGCTGTGAGTTCAGGTCAGCCTGGGCTATGTGGTGGGTTCAAGGCCAGCCTGAACTGTGGAATGAGACCTTGTCTCAGAAAACAAAATTATGTTTTAATTTCAAGTGTTTTGTTTCAAAGAAAAAGTTTTACTGGAAATGAGATCATTTTATTTAAGATAGTTTTTAACATTCAGAGAAACTTTTTAGATTCTCAATTAGTAGTTTTGTGTGTCTAAAATCTCTATCTCAACTGCCAAAAACTCCCAAGCACTGGTCCTCCTGCCTCAGCCTCCTGAGGGTTAGAGGATAGGCATGCGCCACCGGGCCAGCACAGAGGCAGGGTCCTGAAGTGCACAGCTCTCCCTGCTCTGGCCGCCCTGGGCCCATGTCCAGCAGCACCCCCACCTCCTCCTGCAAAGCTATGTGGCTTGTCGTTACACAGAATTCCACAAACTAGTAAAGCCTAAGTGCCCCTTCTGCAGGGGCCAAAAATAGGGCTTTGAAGGCCTAGTTAGTTATCCATGGACACAGCACCAGGGTCTTCCCTTTGCACCCCCAGCCCTTGCCCTGTTTTTTTTTGTTTTTTGTTTTAAGATAGGGTTTTGCTAGATTGCCCATGTTGGGCTGGAAGTTTCCATCTTACCGCCTCAGCATCCCAGAAGGCTGCAATTACAGCTAGGTACCATGGCTTTAAGCTCCACAAACAAGGTAAGTGCAGAGAGCTGCCATTGACAGCTGAGCCTGTATGCAGTGCTGCACACGCATCTTGTGTGTGCACGCACCAGGGATGGGAACCAGGGCTCCTACATGCTAAAGGGGCTCTGCCACTGGCCTACATCCCAGCCCCCAAATTCTTCAAGACAGGATCAAAGTTGCCCAGGCTGGCCTTGAACATAGGACCCTTTTCTTAGCCTCCTGGCTTTTTTTTTTTTCTCTTTATCTTTTTGAGACAGGTCTCACTGTGCAGCTCAGGCTGGACTTGAACCACTTTGTAGCCCAGGCTAGTCTCAAACTCGCAGCAATCCTCCTGCCTCAGCCTCCAGTGTGTTGCGATCATAGGTGTGCGCACCACCACATCTGGATCTGAGTGTACTTTAAACAGAAAATCCCAACCATAGCCTGGGGAGCTCAGGCTATGCACAAAGGCGGCTCTAGTTGGAATGAAACGGCTGTCACAAGAACTGAGGCCTTGGGCCAGCTGTCCTCCCACAGGGTGTCACTCCCTGGGGATCCTGACACCACTGCAGTTGAGGACCAGCTGAGACACCAGGTAGCCATGTGAAGCTGAAGACTGATTTTCCTGTTGGTCCTGGTTTGACTGTACCCAGGCTGGTCTGCAGCTCAATCTTCCTGCCTCAGCCTTTATAGTGCTGGGGTTACACGTATGCACCACTGCACTGGTCAAAGCTCAGGTTTTGTTGCCAAATAAACTGGGGGAAAAGTCAAGTGACACCTCATAACACAGCACTCAGGCTTTGTTTCTGCTTCCTGTCCACCAAAGGATCAGTCCCAGCTTCTGGTACTGCCATGCAGGTGGGGGGAAAACAGGACAGACACGGCCTGTCCAGGTTCCAGTGCATAACAGTGTCCGAAGGGAGCCAGCGGGTCAGGTTTGCTGCACCACCAGAAACCACATCTCTGCACCTCGCCCAGACACCGCACAGGATGCAGGGAAAGCTAACTTGGCTTCCAGAAGCCTGAACCCGAACTAATGTGCAGACTTTCTCCTTGTCTTTTTGTTTGGAGACAAGGTCTGACTATGTAGCTCAGGCTGACTTGGCAGGCATGTGCCCCCACACAGGCTCACCCTGGCATGTTTCAGAAGATTGAGTTTATTTTTTTTTTTTCTTTTTCCTTTTTATTGGTACCGAGGATCGAACTCACGACTGCCTGCTTGCAAGGCAGGCACTTCTGCCTGAGCTAAATCCCCAGCCCTCCCTGGCATGTTTCAAAGGCTGTGTGGTGCCCTAAGGCTCCTGTGTGGAAAAACTGCTCTCCTGCCATGATGCATAACGAACGTGCTGTGCCTGGCTCTGACCCAGCCTTGTGATTCACATGGGCTGGAACCAAACATTCCATCCCAGTGGCCTAGGCAGTGAATTGGCCCTGTCCCATGGGGCCATGTGGTGAAATGACTCTTATTGACCTACTCTGTGGTCCCACTGTGCATGCCTTCAATGGCAATGTCACACCCTGTGTTCAAGAAGATCTGAGAGGAGACACAGTGATGCCATGTGTTTCTTCCTTCACTTTAAAATTCACAACCCCATGGAGGCTGGGGATTTAGCTCAAGCGGCATAAGTGCCTGCCTTGCAAGCAGGCAGTCGTGAGTTCGATGCCCGGTACCGATAAAAAAGGGAAAAGACCACACAAAAAAAAAATAAAAATAAAATAAAATTCACAACCCCACTGGGCAAGGTACCCTCTCATGACATTCCAACACTTGGGAGGCTGAGGCAGGATTTTGGAGTTTGAGACCATGCTACACAGTGAGACCCTACCTCAGAAACCAACATAAAAGCAACTCGTACACTTCGAGGAGTGAAGACATCATAAAAACATAAATATCCTCAGAAACTTGAGCGTCTAGAGGCGCGCACCCCTAGGCTGGACTTAAAACCCCACCTCAGCCTCCAGAGGGCTGGGATGACACGCATGCACCCCAGGCCAGCTTTGCCCCACGGAGTCACAGCGGTTCTGTGGGACTCAGCCTGACCACATGACAGGCAAATCTGTCACTGCAGGCATCCTGGCCCCAGTGGGCCACTGCTGGCCCTAGTAAGGGTGGGGCCAGGGATCTCATAGTGATCGTGATCAGAGGAGGGGGCTGGGCAGAAGGGGACATGGGTGAGGGGACACCACAGCCAGGGCCGTCACTTATACACAGAGTGGAGCCTAACCCAGGATCCTACGCATCCTGCTCTGTGGGGGCCAGGGCTGTGCCATGGGTGCCCAGTGCCATACCTTCATTGTGGCCAGGCCGCCACTGGTGCCACCTGTTGCAGGATCCATTTGAGCCGATGAGGGCTCTGTGCAAAGCAGCAGCAAGATGGGAGGGGAGCGACCCTAGCGGGTGGCATGGGGCACCCCATGGGGTGCCAGGGACCCCAAAAGCCCTAGCAGTGGCTTCCTGGCCACACAGCCGTTTTAAGGCACTGGTGAAGGCAGCAGTGGAGGGTGACCTGAGAGCTGCCCACCATCCACAACCAGTCACGTGGGACCCGAGGTCCCTCAGGTGCAAATGTGCAGACCCCAGAGGGTCTTCAGAGTCCTCCGGTAAGGCCAGGCTGGCTCAGTAGAAATCCAACCGTGACTGCACGGTCTTGCAGCCTTTGTTGGAGTAGACCATCTCGTCCTTGGGGAAGAAGGTCATTTCCTGCGCCACCCTGCTGACCACCTCCTCGTCCACGGCGGCCCCACGGGCCTGCAGCTCCGCGCGCACGCACATCTGCACGTGCCGGTATTCCAGCGGCAGGAAGGGGATGAAGTAGTCGATGAGGTTCCGGTCTATCAGGGTGCTGTGCCACAGGCCACCTGCCAGCAAGACGCAGCGGGGTCTGGTTCCAGCCTGCCCCTGCCACCCAGCCATGCACCACCCCCAGAACACTCCCGCTGTCCCCCTGGCCCCGCTAGACACCCCATTAATGCCCTGCAAACACCGGACAGGAGACTGCGCCCTGCTGGGGACTGGTGTGGTGGGCACAGCTGTCATCCCGCACTCAGGGAAGCTGAGGCAGGAGGATCTGGGAGTTCAAACTCAGTGCTGAGACATCATAAGACCCTGTCTCGGGAAACCAAAAAGACAGCACCCTGCTGGCATACAAGGGACTCACTGTGCTTGTTGTTGAAGACCCCCACGGATAGCACCGGCTCAAGGTCCTTTAACCGGATCTCCTCCCGCTTCCGCCCTGCTCGCCAGAAGTCCAGCGCCGTCCTGGTGATGAGGTCCCCGCCCGCATTGCTGGGTCCATTGGAGAAACAAAGACCCAAGTCACACAAAGAGACCCTGTGCTCCACCAGGACTGGGATGCACCTGTGCCCTTGCGCTGAGCTGTACTTTCCCAACCCCGGCCCCGGCACTTGGAACTTCTCACACTGAGGCAGGATCTCAGGAGTCACTCAGGAGTCTAGCCAAGATGGACTGTAACCTGCCTCAGCTTCTCAAAAGAGGTGGGATGACAGGCGCGTGCCACCACACCCAACATTTTAAAAATATTTCTGCCCAGGCGTGGTGGTGCATGTGTGTCATCCCAGCACTGGGGAAGCTGAGGCAGGAGGATTGCCATGAGTTTGAGGCCAGCCTGGGCTACACATCAGGAGCCTGTCTCAAAAAAGCAAAATAAAACAAAACAAAACAAAGGGCAGGGCCGTCACGGGGCTCTCCCTTCCCCCAGGAGTCCCCTGCTGACCTGAGGAAGATGAAGATGGCCCTGCGGTAGGACACCCCGTCCACCTGCTCATAGTAGTCAAGAAAGGGCTTGATGGCGTCAATGACTCCGGGGTGCAGCTTGTCCATCTCGTCAAAAATGAACACCGAGGTGGGGCAGGCGCTCACATTTCCACGGATCCACTTCTGCAGCTGGTCCTGGAGCCAGCCCAAGAGAGGGGCTGGTCAGAGCTGGTGAGGGGGCAATCAGGGTCCCCTAGACCTTGGGGAACTCTCAACCCTGCACCCTCACCTCTACCTCCACCCCGAGTAGCAGCTTTCACAGATTTTTATCAAAACTGGAAACTGCGAATATGGTGGTGCACTTGTCATCCCAGCACTCAGGAGGCTGAGGCAGGAGGATCACTGCAAGTTCAAGGTCAGTCTGGGCTACAAATTGAGTCCAAGGCCACCTGGAGTACAGGGAGACCCTGTCTCAAAAAAGAAAGGTGTAGGAGGCACAAGACTGAAATCTGCAGTTACGCTTGCCAGGTGTCCAGAACAATCTGGAAGCAGAGGCCTGCTCAGAGCAGGCCTGGATGGGGCCCTACACAGAGCAGCTGACACAGGGGACACTTCCAGAAAAGCGTGCGACAGGAAGCCAGGGCCTTGTACAAGCCCAGAAGTGCTTACCACTGAGCTGTACCCTATCGAGGACCTGGCCCAGAACCCAGACAGCCTGAGCTCAGGCAAACATTTAGTAATGCACGGTGCATGGCTGGGAAGTCAGTGTCTCCAGATGGGACAAGAGCATAACGCTCCAGGACAGCCACTGTTCACTGGGTGTACACAGTGACAGGCGGGGTTCACAAAGGAGTCAAAGCTGGGGGAGGACTCCAGGCCTGTGACACAGCGGGCAGGCGCAATCCTGGGACCGCAAGGGAGCTCCTGCCCTGGGTGCTTTCCAGATTCAGTGGTCTGTTTCAGTTTAGTGGGTGGGAGAGAGTGGCCCATTGTAAAGAGTTCATGGGAAATCTCCAATGGCCGATAACCTCATGCCTCTTTTATCCCTAAGGGAAGTTTACAAAATTAGCCATTGTGAATTTGTGCTCCCCAATATGCCCACAGCTACAATGCTAAAACAAAGTCCCCACCAGGTGTGGTGGCTCATGCCGGTCATCCTAGCACTTGGGAGGCTGAGGCAGGAGGATCATTGCAAGCTTGAGACCAGCCTGAGCTACAAAGTGAGCTCCAGGCCAGCCTGAACTAAGTATGGAGACCCTGTCTCCTCACGGGGCTGGGGATTTAGTTCAGCAGCATAAGCGCCTGCCTTGCAAGCAGGCAGTCGTGAGTTCGATCCCCGGTACCGATAAAAAGGAAAAAGACAAAAAAAAAAAAGATACACACACAAAAACCAACAAAATAAAGTCTTCAAGCAACACGCTCTCGACTCCAAAACATAAGGGCCATGACTGTCTCCCCCCATACCTTCATCTATCTTAGAAGATACATCCTTTTTTCGATGCAGTCTTGCTATGCAGTCCAGATTGGCTATGAACTCAAGATCCTCCTGCCTCAGCCTCCCAAGTGCTGGGATGACAGCTATGCACCACCGCACCAGCTTCTGTTACAGAAGAGCCTGGTAACAGCATTCGGAAGCCAAGGACACTGGTTTCCACCTTTTGGCTTTCTTCCCAGTCTGACAGTCTGGGCTGTAAACGCTTTCACTTCCTCTTACAGCTAAGTTTCTAGTTTCCATTTCCTCCCACCCAGCAACTGGCCATTAACCCTAACAAGGGCCGAAGTGAAGCAGTCTTAGGAGAAGCGGGCAGCACCATGCTGTTCTTCGAAGCCTTCACAAAAGCAGTGCCAAGGACTTGAAGGGCCAGACAGAGGAGGAACAAAAACCCTGCAGTCACTGGGGCTGACCACAGGGTGTAATCCCCCCTCAATGCCCTGCTGGACACACTAGTCACCACCTCCAGTCACAGCTCAGCATGCCAACCGGGGAAAAAAGCTGGGTGCCGGGAGTTCTGAGTTCAGTATCTTCTCTGCCAAAGGTCGAAAAGATTGTAAGGAGCAATCCGGACTCCCCTTTTTCTTTTTTTAAGGCAGGATCTTACTTTGTCATTCTGGTTGGCCTTGAACTATTGGAGATCCTCCTGCCTCAGCCTCTTGAAGTTCTGGGATCAAAGGAGGGCACCATTATGCCAAGCTTGTGGCTCCTTGTGACTGAGATTTTTTTTCCTTTAGTACTGGGAATTGAACTCACGACCTCTCGCTTCCCAGTCAAGAACTGGGCCACTGAGCTATATCCCCTGTCCTGGCTCCATTTTTAAATGGAAACAGTGTCCACTACCTACTGAATTATTTTGGTATCATTATGCTATCCACAGCTGAGCTAGCTAGAAATACTGGAGGCAGTCAGAAGGGCTGGTCCAGCACAGAGGACCAGATGTCTGGTGACCTTAGAGGAAACACACCCCTCTTGCTGTGGGCCAGATCTCAAGACAGAAGGCAAAGCAAATGCAAGCACACCCACAGTATAAACATTAGGGATTAGGAATAATCATCTTGAGAAGCCAGGAGTCGCCTTCCCAACCCCTACAGGAAGAGTCACAGATCCCTAAGAATGCAAGGAGATCCCGAAGAATGCTTGCTTGCTATGAAACTGGCTTCTCCATTTGTCCCTAACTTGGTCATTAATCTGATTGGTTGACCATAGTTCTGTTCCACCTCATGCCCACCTGCCTTTCAAGTTCCCAGTTTTCCCCACCTTAGACCTGCCTCACCTCATGGTTTTACTCCCTCCGTTATTCCTAAAATTTCATTCTTTGATTTTAGAGTACACGAACTCGTACCAGACACCTAGTAGGTAGGGAATTCCATTCCCCGTATCAGTAAGGAGAAAGATTGTGGAAGAGCTCTGGAACCATCCTGGCCTCTGTGCCTTTTTAAAACAAAGACACCTCAGCAATGCACTGTCTACCCCAAAATTCGAAAGGCCAGGACCACAGGGACCTGTCCCCAGCAGCGCCTTCATCCAGCCATCTTCCAAGTCATTTCGGACAGATCTGGGAAACCAGGCCAGGCAGAGGGGCCGAAGCAATGCAAAGCAGAGGAAAGCAGAGGCCAGAGCTAGTGAGCATCCTGCGACAGGGGCAGAGGGGACTCTTGCCTGGTACAGTTTTATCTTCTGCTCGTGGGGGAAGTGCAAGGTGGACACGTACAGGTGGACAAAGTTACTCTTCAGGCCTCGTGGGTGCAGATTCTCCGCCATGATCTGGCTGGCGAAGTTCTTCCCTGTGCCAGCCCAGCCGTGCAGGGACAAGGTGAGAGGTTTCTTGGGGTTTTTGTTGTTCTTAAAACCGATCAGCGCCTTGAGAATCACTTCTGTGGCCAGGTGCTGTCCGAATAGCTTCTCCTTCAAATCCTGCTTGAGAGCTGCGGCGCCAGTCCAGGGCGGAGAAAGAGAAAACATAATTAAGCACCAGAAAGCGGCACTGCGGAACTACGGGCGGATGCACAGACGACAGAGAGACCGAACCACGCTTCATAAGCATTCAGGGCTGCACTGGCCCAGGGATGCGGCTTCCGAGCTCTTAGGGCATTGCCTGCTTCCCAGGGAAAGGAAAACCAGGGACCGGGCAGCCCTGGAGCGGGGGCTGGAAGTGTGGTAGTGGCCAGGCTACTCTCGGTTTCTTTTCTGTTTTCTGAGCCCGCTCTGGCAAGCCCCCGTTGGCCTCGAACTCGCGGCCACCCTCCTACCTCAGCCTCCCGCAGCGCTGGGCTCACAGGGGTGCGCCGCCACGCCCGGCTCTTCTAGCACTTCGGGCCGAGACCCGAGAGCAAGGACCCAGTCGACCCGTCGGGGTCGCCCCGCTCCGCCCCGCCGCCGCTGTCCCACCCGCCGCACGCACCGGAGGCGTTGAGCGGCCGCTCGGCGTCGCAGCACTCGGCGAAGCGGCAGAACCAGTCCTCGTAGGACAGGTAGCCGGTGAACGCCGACACCACCCCGATGGCCAGGCCCACGCTCACGGGGTCCAAAGCCGCCGCCTCACGCAAAGCCAACAGCAGCAGCCACAGGGCCGCGGGGACCCGGGAGCGGCCCGACGCCAGCCACATCGCGAGAACCGCGCCTCACAAGCCGCCGCGACGCCCCGCGGGCGCCCGCCAAACGAGACTTCCGGTCTTCGCGTCACTTCCGGTCGCCCCCGTGGACGGCCATGCCGGTGAAGGGCGGCGAAGCACGTGCCGCCATCTTTGTGAGTGGGAGGACGGAGTCTGGCGGGGCTAGGCCCCCGAGAAGCCCCACCTCTAGTTTTCACCGCTTGTCTTTTTCTTCACTTTTTATATTTGCTTTGGTTTTGGTTTTGCTTTTGATTTTGCCCTTTGGATGCTGATAGGGATTGAACCCAGGGTCTTTGCCCTGAGCTGCTTCCCCCATACATTATATATTGTGTAATAGAGTGTCATCATCCCCTAATTTGCCCAATTTGAGCTGAAATTTGTGATGCTCCTGCCTCAGCCTCCCGAGGGCTGGGATTTCGGCCGTGCATCACCACACCAGGCTTCTGTTTCCTATGAAACCCCTAGCAGTCCCTTACCGCCAGTCCTGACTCCCTCTTCTGTCCTCTGGGCATGGCCACGGTTTTCTTTCTTTCTTTCTTTCTTTTTTTTTTTTTTTTTTTTTTTTTTTTTTTTTTTTGGTCTTTTTGAGACAGGGTCTCGCTATGCAGTTCAGGGTAATCTTGAGCTCACTTTGTAGCCCAGGCTGGTCTCAAACTCGAAATGATCCTCCTGCCTCAGCCTCCCAAGTACTGGGATTACAGGCGTGAGCCACCGCGCCCAGCTTTAACTAGTTTTTTTTTGTTTTGTTTTGTTTTTGTTTTTGTTTTGTTTTTGCATGGCCAGGCTTTCTAAAGCTCCCTTTGACCTTCAGCACGCTCCTTGCTGTGACTGTAGTGAAGACAGTGGTTGCCTGCAGCCGGGGATTGGGCCCTAAAACTACAACGTCCAGGGCTCTGTCCTGCAGCACCATAGCCCTGGCACACGCTGTATCACCTGCCTCGCACCCATTGTCCCCTAGATGGGGCTCCATGAGCAGATCACGCTGCTCTTTGTGTGGAACTCTCTGTGGCTCCCTGTTACCCTTGGCAAGGCCTCCACCTCTGCTCTACCCTGCACCCTGGGGTGTACTTGGCATTCATCTCCACACAGCCTGGATTGCGGGACATCTGGGGACAGGGCAGCCCCTGAAGCTCTGTCTTGGGGCTCAGCCCGGGGTGGGGGGCTTGGGAGGAAGACTGGGGGGTTGGGCGGGCTCATCAGAGCTCACAGGAGGGCGGGAGAGGGCAAAGCAAAGCCAGGAGGAGGTCAGCGGGAAACTCCGGGAGGTAGGACCGTGGTGGTCAGGGCTGTAATTCCAGCTGTGCATCTTCAGTCCATCTCTGGGCCACAAAAAAGAAAAAAAGAAAAAATTATAAACTGGGTGTGGTGGTGCTCGGCTGTAATCCCAGCACTCAGAAGGCTGAGGCAGGAGGATGCAGATTCCAGCTCAACCGGAACAAATTACGGAGTTAGTGACAGTATGTTCAAAAATACGTGCAGGTTGAGCTCTGCCCTAAAAGTGAGTCGCAGTGGAAAGGCAGATGTTTGGTATCAGGAACCTAGCCAAGGTCCCCAGTTGTCAATACTTGGGGCAGAACCCATGGCCTCATGCCCGCAGGCAAGAGCTCTACCTCCACCTGAGCTGCACTGCCAGCCCCTTTTTATTTTATTTTGAGAGAGGATTACACTCAGGTGCCCAGGCTGGCCTCAAATTTGGGATTCTCCTCCCTCAGCCTCCTGAGTAGCTGAGATTACAGGCAGGCATCATCATCCCTGGCTACCATACCTATTTTCAGTTTTATAATTGGCTTTCTTTTTGGTTTTGAGCCCCTTTTTGAGACAGAGTTTCACTATGCAGTTTAGATTGGCTTGAACTCACTTTGTAGCTCAGGCTGGACTCGAACTCACAGCAACGCTCCTGCCTCAGCCTCTCCAGTGCTGTGATTACAGGCTTGCACCACCACACCCTGTAACCGGCTTTCATAAACTGTCAGAACCCACGGTGGCTGGCTGTCGCCGGGTGTCCCTGTTCACCCTTCCTCTTTCTGTTGTCCTCTTGGAACCTTGGGGCGCTGCCCAGGTCGCAGACACTGTTAACTCAGAATTCTCTGGTCTCCCTTACACTGAAGAGAAGCAGGAAAGTCTTGGAGGGGCCACACTGCACGTTGGTTGGCGGCCAGTGGGGATTTTCAGGACCAGAGACAGCGCCCCCTGGGCCTCGACCGTTTCCCAGGCAGCTTGGACCTAAAGGGCAAGGTCCACCCTAGGAGGGGCGCAGGGACAGCGGCTGGGAGACTGCTGAGCCCTCCCGACGCAGCACAGGAGTGGCTGGGAAATCTCAGTGGTCGGTCACTCACTCTCTATCACCTCCGGTCCCAAAAAAAATGATTAAGAAAAATTCAAGCCAGCCGAGGTTGCACACACGTGTAATCCCAGCACTTGGGAGGCTGAGGCGAGAGGATGGAAAGTTCAAGGCCAGCCTGGCTACCAAGTGAGCTCAGACCAGCCTGAACTGCAGAGCGAGACCCTGTCTCAAAGAGACAAAGAAAGAAATTCAAATTCAGCCTGGTGTGGTGTTGCACATTTGTAATCCCAACCTTCAGAAGGCCGAGGCAGGAGGGTTGCAGCAAGTCGGAGGCCGGCATGGACTACATGGCGAGACCCTGTCTCGAAAGTAAAGTAAATAAAGAGAGTCCCCATGGAGCAGAACGTGCAGGAGCTCAGGTGTTGCCAGTACAAACAGGACTGTGCGGTGTGTCCGTGTTTGGGGGAAGGTAGAAGTGGGTGGGTTTCCAGAGAAGCCAGCCTGAGGGGCGCTATGTGCGGACCCAGTGGTCCCAGACAGATGCTGGGGGGTGGAGAAGCTCCTGAAGGGGGGCCATGACACATTCCTGGCTCACTCCACTCAGCCGACAGCACAAAAACACTGGGAGACACAGCCAAGGGGTGCACAGCAGGACTGTCTACAACATCCACAACCAGAATCCAGTCCAGTGCCCACCACTGGGGGAGTGCATAAACCACAGTGAAGACCAGGGTGGAATATTATAGGTCGTTAAAGCAGATACACCTGCTAAACGTGAGGTCGCCTATTATCCCAGCACTCAGAAGGCTGTGGCAGGAGGGTCTGCTCAAGTAGTGAGGTCTGAAGTGTTAAATATGTTCATCTTTATTTGCTTGGTGTTTGTTTTGCAGTGCTAGTGGTTGGTCCAAGGCCCAAGTTATATTTCCAGCACTTAAATTTTTTTTTTTAAATCATGAGATGGGTTTTCACTAAGTGCTAATTTACAGGCAGCTTTTAACTTGTAATCTTCCTGCCTCAGCCTTCCAGAGTACTAGGATTATAGGCATGCACACCACTATGCTAGATTAATGCTTTAGTGTTGTTGTTTTCATGTAGAGGTTGAGAGCAAACATATCAAAATACAACACAGAAGTGTCATATGTAGATGAACATACTGGGTTTTTTTTTTTTTTTTTTTTTTTTTTTTTTGTCTTTTTGAGACAGGGTCTTGCTATGCAGTTCAGGCTGGCTTTGGGCTCACTGTGTAGCCCAGACTGGTCTGGAATTCACTCCGATCCTCCTGCCTTGGCCTCCTGGGTGCTGGGATTACAGTGTGCACCACCACACCTGGCTTATACATGAGTTTTATAACATGTGACACGTAGGGCAGGAGGGACCGGCAGAGACCAGCAGGCTGTATAAAATTCCACGGTGTGGAATTTACTGAGCTTGGGCACAGACAGGCAGAGAACGGGATGGGATCATCTGCCCCAAACAAGAAGTGTGTCCTTCTCACAGGGACAGAGAGAAGGCAGGGGACTTCAGGCAGGAAGATCCCAGTAAACACCTGTGGACCGGTTCTCTGGCAGCCTTGTGCCTTGGAGGGCAGAGTCCTTGAAGCCTTCGGTGTCAACTCCTGGGTGTCCCCAGATGTCCCCAGATGTCCCAGGACCTGCTGAATCCTCATCCCATCTTCTGTCCTGCGGCCTCTTGCGGTGCTGAGTGCCCTGCAGGGAGCGTGCTCTGCCAGTGGGGTGGGGTGGGGTTGGCCAGCTGGAGCCCTACCAGGGTGTCTTCTTCTTTTGTTTTGTTTTTTGAGGCAGAGTCTCCCGGTGTGGTTCTGGCTGCCCTTGAACTCACTTTGTAGCCCAGGCTGGCCTCAAACTCACAGGGATCCTCCTGCCTCAGCCTCCCAACTATTGGGCTTACAGGTATGCTTGGTATTTTTTTTAACTTCTGTTCTTGATGAGATTTTTATAATTAAATAAAAAGGTCAAAACAGCCTCTAGTATGAAGTCATGAATTCAGTTCCCCATATCAAAAAGAGAAAAACAGGGCTGGGGATTTGCGCCTGCCTTGCAAGCCCGTGGTCGTGAGTTTGATCCTTGGTACCGATTTTAGAAAAAGAAAAAGAGGGGCTGGGGATTTAGCTCAGCAGCATAAGCGCCTGCCTTGCAAGCAGGCAGTCGTGAGTTCGATCCCTGGTACCGATAAAAAGGAAAAAGCCAAAAAAAAAAAAAAAAAAAGAAAAAGAAAAGAAAACAAAACAAGAAAAACCAGCCTCCAGCCTAAAGACCGGGGGAGCGCCTGGGATCCCAGCACTCTGAGGCTGAGGAGTGAGGATGGAAAGTGGGAGCCCAGCCTGAGCAGTGCTCAGTTTTACCCAGAGTTTGTCTCAAATTTTAGAAAAGAGGATGGCCTGCAATCCCAGAACTCGGGAGGCTGAGGCAGGAGGATTGCCGGGAGTTTGAGGCCAGCCTGAACTGCAAAACAAGACCTCGTCTGGAAGAAAGAAAGAAAGAAAAAAGAAAGAAAGAAAGAAAGAAAGAAAGAAAGAAAAGAGGGATGGTAGGTTAGCTCGCTCGGTGCTAAAGCCCTGGGTTCGATCTGGGAGCGCGGAACGACAGCCGGAGCCAGACAGCCGGCCTCTGGGCGGCGGAAAAGGAGCAGAAGCGCTGCTTTCCGCGAAGCCCGCGTTCCCTCGGCGCCTAGAGCGAGTGCTTCCCGGCACGACCACCAGGTGGCGCGCCAGCGGGGAGCGCGGGGCTCTCGCCGCCAGACCCG